AGAGAAAACATTGTACAAGCACTTCAATGCACACAAATCATGCACAGATATAGACTCAATGAAAAATACTTTCAGCACTTCAGTGTTCAAATACTTTATCTAGCAAAGTCCTTTAGTAAACAAGCTTAAAAATTAGTCTTGATGTACCGGTAAGTCACTGCTACGACGAAGATGCCAATTTTTGATTGGATATTTAAACTGGTAATTAATTTCTAGAGACTAAGTGTTGTGTGTACGTTGGACTGATACGCCATTATTAGCCATGTTTTATGCACAGGTGACTTTCTACTCTGTGTATGTATTAACCAATTTCGTAAGAAGTTGTGTCGATATTTTTTTTAATTTCAAGACAAAAAATGACTTAGCTCTTGCTTTACAATTGAAGAGACTGAAAAATCCCTTCAACGCAAACTAAATATTGACTCATTGAAATTCTAGTCATCAAAATTAAAATAACAAAGATATAGAAGGAAAAAATTGGGACTTGGAAATTATTTCGACTCAAACTGAATTTTGACTCACGTGATTTCAAGACAAGTTTCAACTGTATATAATCAACATATTTGTTAGAGTTCCACACAGGCCACTGTCTTGATCTATTGCTAATTTGCTGTGGCGCTTGCTACTTTCATGGAAAACGTTTTCAAAATTTAAAATTTGACTGTTGATTGTCATCTTCAATTAAAGAGTTGTATTGTTTTGCATTTGATGGAATATTTCTCACACTTAAAAGTTACAAATATTTTCAACATGTTTAACCTTTCAGCAATTTCAGGACTTTGATTTTAGATAGATGAGATTAAGACTCAAACACCTAGACATTCTTACATTGACAGGAAGTGAAACAGTCTCATTTATTCCAACACCAAGACATTCCCACATTGACAGGAAGTGAAACAGTCTCATTTATTCCAACACCAAGACATTCCCACATTGACAGGAAGTGAAACAGTCTCATATATTCCAACACCAAGACATTCCCACATTGACAGGAAGTGAAACAGTCTCATTTATTCCAACACCAAGACATTCCCACATTGACAGGAAGTGAAACAGTCTCATTTATTCCAACACAAAAACATCCCAACCAAGACGGGAAGTCAAATATTCTCAAACATTCAAACTCAAAGACCTTTCCTGATAGAGAGAAAGTCAAACATTCTAAAACATTCCAACTCAAAGACCTTTCCTGATAGAGAGGAAGTCAAACATTCTCAAACATTCCAACACAAAAACATCTAATACAGAGAAGGTCAAACGTTCTCCAAACCTTCCAACACAAACACATTCTGTTAAAGTTAAATTCTCACTAACCTACTCAGGTATTTAATTTTTGCACATAAGAGAAAGGTATGATTTTTAAGTCATATTGCTTGTGTAGTTAGTTTGGGTAAAGTTTTTGATAACATATCAGGACATAGGATGGAAATTGGTGGCCAAGTGAGATTGCATCAGTCAACATAAATGGAAATGTTAATATCAGGAAGGAATTCTCTGGTTGGTACTTGGCAATCTATTCCATTTTTTTGGTGTTCAGGACATTTCTGAATATTGATAATAAATAAAAGTTTAATGTAGAATTAAAATGTCAACTGTAAAAAGCTGTTCATTGCAGAGAGCAGTGCCAGTATTTTTTTATATTTCATTCATTGGCAAAAATTAAGATTGGTGGCAATTTCGTTGAGATTTTTTGATGACTGGTATTTGCTAATTGGATAGTGCATGTATGGCATAAAGGTGTTATTGGGAAGGAACAGATAACAGGACTTTATAAAGGTCTCCGGGGTGCCATAATCTCTGGCCATAACAGAATTATTGGTTATCGAGTGTCACAAACTATTACTGTGCTGTCACTTTACCTGGCTTAAGGTACAGAATTGTCAGCAATTTTCCCAGGAAATCCTTGTATAGTGCAAAGCAAGATTTAATCAAAATATCAATAAATCTGCTGATACTTGGTAATTTTTTTGTTAACTCTTAACTGAATTATAATTTTGTGTGTATGTGATTCCAGTTTACTTCTCTGTTAGATTGGTAATGATGTACTAAAGCTAACCTCACTGCTAGCCATTTTCTTTATTAGTTTACATGTCAATCTGAAAGCTATATGTCTAGACAATGTACAGAATTCAAGACAATCCTTTCTCCAAACTTATTGAAGGAGTGAATTTACAGCAGAGAATATTACCTTTTTTATTTGATCGTATATATGAATATCTTCTTTGTACTCTAATCGGATATAAAGTTTATTATCCTTTCTGGTTTGAAATGTTGTAACATTCAGAGAAATAATTTCAGATAGTTGAGAGATTCTTAATATATGATATTGCAAAACAGAAATTGAAAAGAAAGTCATTCTACCATCCATATTCTATAGAGGGGTTAAGATATTAAGTGTTAGAAACTTTCCAAATCAGATTTGTCTTATTTCTGTTACTTTTTTTTATTCATCTTGGCAAGTTAAATGTTGTTTCCACACGGCACTGCTGCCAGATATATGTATAGTTGTTTCACAGTAGTCATTTCACAGTGCCTATGCATACAGGTAGTTGTCTCCCTTTGGCAGTTCTTGCCATGTATGTAGTTATCTCCCCTTGGTAGTACCTGCATATCATGCATGAAGTTACCTTACTTTGATAGTTCCGGTCTTATATAGTACCTGTCTCCCTTCGAGAGAATTACATACCTGTCATACATGAAGTTATCTCCCTTTGACAGTTACCTGTCATATATGCAGTTAACTCCCCTTTTTCATTACCTGGGATTAACATGTTTTTCAATTTATAGTTCATGTCATACATTTAGTTGTCTCCTTTAAATTGTTCATACTTGTAGTTATCTCCCTTTCACAGTTCATGTAAATCTTAGTCATTACCATGTTTGTCACTGCAGATCATCATTACCGTGTTTGTCACAGAAAGGATCATCAATATAAGTGAGATAATTAAGTTTGTATGTTAACCAAGAGATCCGTGGTCTGATATAGTAGCAACAGTGGTGGTCATTAATTTCACATCACTGTAGTTACATATATGTCAGCCTATAGGAAATACCCACACCATTGAAATTGACGTGGTTTACAGCCCAATTAAGTTTGCACAAAGGCAATAGGTTGTGACACTCTGGGCTTTCTGATGTAGTGATCATGATGTAAAGAGGAATGAAGTTACTACTGGGAGCAGTGCCACAGAGCAGTACCATGGTGATGTGTCACAGTCTGACCTTGCCACAGTAGTAAGCTCAATAAACTGGTCACAAAATAGAAAATTTCACACAATTTTTACATCCTGTTATGTAGCGTTATATCACCATTTTAATTCATTCCCAGTTTAAGATTAATACCTGGCCACTCTGTTTTGGCGTTCTGTAATGCTAACCATACTAAGAAAATGCCAAGGCAGTAGCCATTTCTCTGTCAGTCCGCCTGTGACATTATCACTTGCATCATATACAATTGTAATCCCTATTCCATTATCTGTCCACGTCCATTGGCTGTCTCGCCAGTCATTAAGTCTCTGCAACTTTCTCTATATTTACCACCTCTTTCGAAACGTGTTTCCAGGCTTTGCCCTGATATAGACATGATATAGAGTATGACACGCAAAGTGTGTCCGAGCTTTGTCATAATACAGACTCAAAATAGAATATGACACACATTGTGTATCGGAGCAGTCTCAATAAGGAATACGACATGCATTGTGTATCTGAGCAGACTCCATATAGTTTAAGACATGCGGAGTGGATCCAAATATAGAATATGACACACATGGTGGTCAATATTGTTGGATTCATCTTGTTTTTTTTCTTTTTTTTTTATGAAAAATTCAAAGCCTTTTGAATTAATTCAGTCGAAGAATACATTTATCTGGAGGATGAATCAGGTTTCCAAAGCTAACTGAGATAGATCTGGCACCATGAGAGAGTTTGGCAGACTACATAGGTGCTTAATTCATAGACAATCAGATTACAAACCATTTATTATCATTTCATATAAGGAATTTTTTAGGTCATGTAATTTATTCCTTAAATCAAATTCTGATTCAATTTTTCTGATGGAGCCTACTTGGTATCTGCTTTGTTAAGGAAGACTATACCGTCAGGAACAGTTGTTCATGTCAGAATTGATTGCCTTAATTCACACAGCCTGCTGATGTCCTAACATATACAATATAAGTGCACTTTTATTTGAAGTAAAAGAGTAATTGAGGTGGAAATTTCTTTTTTTTTCTCTCAAAATTATGGTATATGAACTTTTGATTTCCCTAGAAAGGACTTTAAAAACCTTGTTCAGCCAGTTTACAGATGACATTAATATTTCAAACCAGATGTGTTGTTACTGTAGAGTTGTTAAATCAAAATTGATATAGGAAGTGTGTATTATACACTAATAAGATCTTATCCCATAGATAAGGTCCAATCTTTACTGATTGTCAGTAATATATAAAAAAAAATGTGTGAAAGTCCAATTATTACATTCTTACCAAAAATTTGTTCTTCAATACAACATTTTCTAGAAATATCAGTTGAATTTGATATATATTTGATAGATGAATAATCCATTTTGTCTTAGAATCATACGTTTTATAATTGACTTAAAATGAATGAGTCCAGCACTGTAATTTCTAATTTTACCCAAATTTAATGGCCAGAGTTTTTGAGATGTTTTGGGTCATAGGCAAGCTGTATTTCAGAACCATTCGGATAAAAGAAGAACTTTATACTGGACTTCTTTTTAAGTTAGTTATGTGGATGACACTAGTTGGACCTATTACATACATCTATGGTAGGTTTATCAGAATTGTGACATTAAGGAACATTGTGCCTTTATTCCTTTCATCCGATGATTTGAAGAATTTGATATATGTATGTTTCTATATTCCACAGTTGCAAAACTGAAAACAATATCAGATGTATCATGTTTTAATTTTAAAACAAACTTTTGAAGTTTGTTTTTAACAGTATCTTTAGATAGGCTAATAATGTGCTTGTATTTTTGGTAGGTACCCAGCTGAGGAGATTGAGAGTAAGGTGTCCATGTTTAGGACCATGCTGATCAATAAAGAAGGGGTGACAGAATCAGCAGTAGAAAAGGACGAATTTGGACGACCAATGTAAGTGATTTTTCCATGCTTTATTTTATCATTTTCTTTTTCCCAGCATGCAGTAAACAGGTAGCCATCTTGGACTTTGATATGTGAAGATTGCTATCTTTTTTAGTCACCGGAGACAAAGTCTCATGGTGACCTATTCTAATTACCTTCATCCGGTGTCGTGCGTCCGTAAACAATTTAATATTTTTTACTTTTTCTCAAAAGCCCCTGATCTGATTTCAATGAAATTTTGCAGAAACCTTCCTTTGCCTAAGATGAACCAAAATTGTGAATCATACAGCACCTACCCCCAAGGGGCGGGTCCAAAAGGGGTCAAATTGACTAGGTTTTCAAAAATCTTCTCAAGACCCAGATATCGTAGAATCAATTATTCTTCATGAATGAAAGCATATTAAGGGACTTTACCAAAATTGTGAATTTCATGGCCCCAGGGTCTCACATTATCCTGTGGGAAGGGGGTAAAGTTTACTGTAGTTTATATAGGGAAACTAGATTTTTGAGCATAAATTGTTTAATTTCCATTGGAAATATTTCAAACTTGGTTAGAATTATGAGTGAAGGATGGTAGCTTGATGGTATACCAATTTCTGTTTCATGACACTTGATAACTATCCTTTAACCTTTATATTCAATATTGCTTATCTCAGGTGACCGTCAAGGCTGCTAGGCCTCTTGTTGAAGGGAAATATTGAATGTTTCATTTTCAAAATGTACATAGGCTAATCACAATGTAGGAGGAAGCAAGGCTAATCACAATGTAGGAGTGTACATAGGCTAATCACAATGTAGGAGGAAGCAAGGCTAATCACAATGTAGGAGGAAGCAAGGCTAATCACAATGTAGGAGGAAGCAGAGAAAAATAGGAATAAGTAGGTGAAATGATCAACTTTTATAGATGTGATGGTTGATACCGAGATCCTGCTTGAATTTCTTGTTTAGTTCTTTACAATTTTATTTTTACATTTAGTTGTTAGTTCATTATCGATGACAACTTATAAATTTTGAATAAGTTTCTAATTTTGCAAGTTGAATTTAGTCCACGCTGAACAAATTGAGATTTGCTTCAAAAGTTAAATTCTGCTTCTGCTGTTAAGACGGGGAAGGAGGAAAAAATATTATGTGATATAGAATGATTATGTTCAAGTGTTTCTGATGGCCTTTTGCACATTATTCCCTTGTGTTAATGCATGTAATATAGAGAGAATGTCACAAAAGTTTGAAACCTAAGTTTAATATACTTTGTCAATCAGGGAACAAAAAATTGAAACTTCAGTATGAATATACTCCCCTAAGTTAATCAATTCCTTACGACCTCATACACTACGTACGTCATTGGTAGTATGCTCCACACTGGTCATCTGTCTGATGAAGGTAACCGTGTAGTCATCAAAATGTCAATCTCAAATCTTCCACTGGTTGTGTTATAAGAACTTCTATTCTACTGACATTACCAACTTGATGAAAATTTTTTTAAAAAGCACGGAAGTATATTTGTGTGTACCATGAACACTCCTGACATTTTACTTTCCCAGCTTGTCTTCAACCTTCATTTAGTTTCAATTTTCACAACCAAAGTATATATGACACTCCGCCTTATACAGTATATGACAATATGTGTCAAGTTTCTTGTTTTGCATACAAAATTTTTGACAACAAAATTACAAAAAGTGCGTAAGGATGGATATTCGTTATCTGGATGTCAGTAAAATTTAAGCCATTTTTAAGTTTGAAAACTACTCCAGAGACTATGTAGTTTTAAACAGCGTAAGTACAAATGGATGTACCAGAATACTAAACAGATTGTCTTATTCACGTATATAATATTTAAGTATATAGGTAACCAGGTTAAACTAATACACATATTGAGCTTTGATCTGATTTCAATTTCACCATTTTGGATTTTGAGAGGAGCTAGTTTATCAGGATATTTATTTTATTACATGTATTAAGGATAATTTGAGGACTGAATATTTGTATTGTAGTATATATATACAGAATATTTTCAGCAGAATATTTATTTATATATATACATGTATTTTAAGGAGGGTTTAACTGAATATTTGTATTGTATATATATACAGGATATTTTAAGGAGGGTTTAAACTGAATATATTAGTATATATATGTATTGTATATATATACAGGATATTTTAAGGAGGGTTTAACTGAATATTTGTATTGTAGTATATATATACAGGATATTTTAAGGAGGGTTTAACTGAATATGTATATTTAGTATATATATACAGGATATTTTAAGGAGGGTTTAACTGAATATTTGTATTGTAGTATATATATACAGGATATACTGAATATTTATATTATAGTATATATATACAGGATATTTTAAGGAGGGTTTAAATGAATATTTATATTGTAGTATATATATACAGGATATTTTAAGGAGGGTTTAAATGAATATTTATATTATAGTATATATATACAGGATATTTTAAGGAGGGTTTAACTGAATATTTGTACTACATATGTATGAAGGATATTTTGAACAGAATTTAGCTGAATATCTATTGTAGAAAATATGTTATTATATATTATATTTTGAATAGAGTTTTCATGATATCCATTTGAGTACATGTATTAATGTTATCTTAAGGGTAGCTCAATAGAATATTTAAGATTTTATCAAGAAATGATATATTTTTAATGGATAACTTACTAAGACATCTGTTATGTATTGGGAACATTTGAGATCTGTGTTTTAGGCTATTTATTGTACTATCTACAGGACAATATATAATAATCATTGGAATATTTATTGTAGGACTGTCCTCCATTACAGGTCATTTCAGTGAAATTTTGTGCTTTTAAATTTTGTCTCTATAGTGCAGAGGTTTAAAGTGCATCACTTAAATCGAAACCTAATTTGATTTGGAGCTCTTGTGTCGTTGACATTTTTAAGATTTAAAAAAGAAAAAGAAAAAAATGGTGCATAATTTTAGGAAATCAACATAAAATTCAACTGTTCTCATATTCAGCAATATCACTAATGATTTTATGTACCCTGCAAATCTCATGCTGCAAATAAACTATACAACATTACTCCCGAGGGAGTTAGGCAATGCAGCAATATTTTTGTACTGACAACAAGATTTTTTCTGTTACATGGTTTGCATGCTTACAAAACATTTAAGTTATAAAATATTTAAAGAACTGTCAATTCAGATAATTTTATTTTTACTTTTGACTGAACTCTTCTTGTCTGCTAATGGTTTATTAGGTGACAAAGTAGAAAGTTCTGTAGTGTTTTTTTATAAAGATGTACAGAGTTGTCATGTATGTTTCCGAAACTTGTTTCTACTCTTCAAAAAAATTGTTGACAAATGTCATTTCCTCTTCCATCATAAAAGGCAATTCTTGATTTTTCAAAAGTGACAAATACAAAATTGTCATGACACTTGACCTGGAAATAAATGATATATATAACTCACTCAAGGAAACTTATGCTAGTAGCAGCAAGCTTATATTTAATCCACAGTTAAAAAGATTAAACAACATTTAATGACAAGGAAAACTTAATTATCCATATAAACCTTGTTTGTTATGCTGGAAGACCAAGGAAACCTTGACTATTAGTATAACCTCGTTTGTTGCCTTGGTGATTGTCATCAGTGATATCATTTGTACTGTGGATGCCTTGGTGATTGTCATCAGTGATATCATTTGTACTGTGGATGTCTTGGTGATTGTCATCAGTGATATCATTTCTACTGTGGTTGCCTTGGTGATTGTCATCAGTAACGTCATTTCTACTGTGGTTGCCTTGGTGATTGTCATCAGTAACGTCATTTCTACTGTGGTTGCCTTGGTGATTGTCATCAGTAACGTCATTTCTACTGTGGTTGCCTTGGTGATTGTCATCAGTAACGTCATTTCTACTGTGGTTGCCTTGGTGATTGTCATCAGTAACGTCATTTCTACTGTGGTTGCCTTGGTGATTGTCATCAGTAACGTCATTTCTTCTGTGGTTGCCATGGTGATTGTCATCAGTAACGTCATTTCTTCTGTGGTTGCCTTGGTGATTGTCATCAGTAACGTCATTTCTACTGTGGTTGCCTTGGTGATTGTCATCAGTAACGTCATTTCTACTGTGGTTGCCTTGGTGATTGTCATCAGTAACATCATTTCTACTGTGGTTGCCTTGGTGATTGTCATCAGTAACATCATTTCTACTGTGGTTGCCTTGGTGATTGTCATCAGTAACATCATTTCTACTGTGGTTGCCTTGGTGATTGTCACCAGTAACATCATTTCTACTGTGGTTGCCTTGGTGATTGTCACCAGTAACATCATTTCTACTGTGGTTGCCTTGGTGATTGTCATCAGTTACATCATTTCTACTGTGGTTGCTTGAGTGGCTCCTATCAGTTATGTCATTTTCACTGTGGTTGCCAAGGAGATTGGCCTGTCTGAAATTTCTGTGAGTTGTCCTTTAGTGACTACCCTGATACGATATTGAAATAGGAATGGTATAAAATTCAATGTAATATCATTCTCGGAATTCTGTATGGTAATTGATACACAAATTGTTGTTTATTTACACATAAATAATAAAACTTGGCTCTAAATCTCTTAATGATAAATAATTTGATAAGATTGTCAAATAATTTCATATAAAACTGGTACCAGGGTCATGACTAGACTAGGATAGAAATTACCATATACTTACACAATCAGTGCTGGGCCTTACACCCTAGTGACACAATATTGACATGGAAACGACCTTGACGATCATATGGATGCAGATCACGATATAATCTGGGGATAAATACAGAAAAATCCTTTGTTTTCAGTCGGATTGGGATGATTTGTGGGGCGGCTTTGTAAAGAGTTAGGAGACTTTTATATGTGTGATGCCACTATAGGGGACATTCAGAGGCACCCATTACAATGAATTGTTTAGGCCAGTGATATTACAATATTTGTTTCGTATCGACTGGAACAATTATATACAGAAAACATCAAGACTATTCTTCAACACT